CGATGACGACGACGACAACGAAGAATGAAATGACTGGCAAAGCCAGACAAGCAGACGCTTAAAGTTTATTGTTTGTCTGTTACTTTTCATTCCCTGTTTATTTATTTATTTATTTATATATTTATTTATTTTTGCCGCACGTTTTCATATACATACATGTGCACGTAATATTTAAGTATGTACTCGCAATTTACTGCAAGTGCAAGAAGCATAGTGAGGCAGGCATATGTGCTAACTTGCAATGTAAACGTGCACATACGTCGTGAGGTTGCGAACGCTGTCTTAAGAAAAACAAAAAAAAAATAAAAATAAAGAAAAGACTTATTATTATAGGACTGCAAAGCAAGCAACTAAAGAATGATGGAAAAAAAAAAAGCTTTGTTTTATGCGTTTATTCGATGGTTGGTAAAGTTTTGTATTTTCATTTCTCTCTCTCTCTCTCTCTCTCTCTCTCTCTCTCTCTCTCTCTCTCTTTCTCGCCTTTCCTAGTGCCGTGCTAGCGGTTGCTTAGCTTAGCTTAGCTAGATTGGCTTGAACCAAACCAAGCCTGACAATTTGTTCGATAATAATTGTTAACCTTTGGTCATTTTGACACATATTCCATGGCCATGGCAGTTTATGGCTATAGTGAGAATTTCTGTGGAAAAAGTTTGCCGTCTGTAAACTTTTAAAATCTATCTCTGTTCCCCCTACGTAGCGCTTAGCATTAATGTATGGTGTATGCATGGGCGATGGCATGATAGGGGTTTTCTTAAGAATTCCTGAAAACAACAACATAACGATTTCATCATGGAGATAAGGTTCAGGTTCTTTTCTTTTTCTTTTTGCCTCATCTCATATATCGGTTGAGTGTACATATGTATGCATAGTCTTTTGCGTGTACATATGCGGATATCAAAATGACGCGTCGGTTTATTGTTTAAGTAAGCGGTCGCGTCGTGTATTCATTGCAAAGTCGCCTATAGAAGTCGATTTGGAGAAATGTTATCAATTTTTGAAAAATAAAATTTATATTTGCACACAGTTTTGTTAATTGAAGCGCGTATTCCTTTCAAAAATTTATCATTTCCATTTAGATTCCAAAGATTTCAATCTCAATAATAATAACAACAGTATAATGGATACCGAACATAATCAGCAAGACAGACAAACGCCAAAAGATTTACTCTCAGAGACTGTAGGTGTCGAGATGACGAATGAAAATCTGAAACGTCACAAACTAGAACCAATGGAAACAACCACGATCCATGAAAAGGGAGACGACAAAGATAAGGAGAGTTTTAAAGCGCAACATATGGAAGATGAAGATCTTACAAGGAGCTCTAACGGTTCGATAGACAATAAAGATACTTATGGAGATGCAAAATGTGATATAAATAGAATATCTAACATAAGAGAGCATAGTTCACCAAATGTAAGAACCTCTACGCCTCAGCAAACACCACCTTTAAGTCCCGCTAAATCGATGGACGATTCAATTAGCGAAAGCAAAAGTTCGCCGGCGAGCAATAGCAATCTTCCAAAATTAAGACTAAATACCTTATTGGCGTCAGATCCAGCTTTAATGCCTGACGCCAAAGACTTGAAGCTAATCCAAGAAGAGGCCAAAACTCAACAGCGCAAAAATCAACTGGCTCAAGGCTCTCCTGAAGAATTGGACTCTTTAATGATAACACCCGCCAATAATTTAATGGAAACGTCGGTCCTGAAGCCAGTAACTCCTAGCGTAGAAGTGCCAACGCGTATGAAAGTTTTTATGTGTCTGCCTTGTGGCATAGGTTTTAGTTCTCCTTCAACTTTAGAGGCACATCAAGCCTATTATTGTTCGCATCGGTAAGTGAACTTGTTTGTTTTAATTTTCTTTACCTCTCCAACCAATTTTTCTCTTATATAAAAAATCTGCAGTCACAAGGATATGGACGATGATACATCTCTGTCGGCAGAAAAGAATTCTACTTCTCCTTCCAGCGGACAAGCGACAGTAAGTTCGACTCCAAGCAATCAGAGTTCTGAACCATTGGCTAAAGCCCTTAAGACTGGCAAGCAATACGCTTGCACTCAGTGTTCCTACAGTGCTGATAAGAAAGTATCTCTCAATCGTCATATGCGCATGCATCAAACCTCTCCAGCATCAACTACGAATGCATCTAATAATAATAATAATAGCATAGGTGGAGGCAGTGCGGCAGGCACGCAAATGGAGGAGAATTCTAGTCAAGTGAGTTAGTTGTTGGTTGATCGCTCATACTGCAAAGGCATATGCAAAAATAATTCGTTAAACATGAACACATTTTTAGCAAATCGACCGCTATTGCAGTGATTGCGACATACGCTTTAATAATGTGAAGACTTACCGGGCGCACAAACAACATTATTGTAGTTCTCGCCGCAACGAAGGGTAGGGGCACACTCTAAAAAGTGATTAAAATAAAAATTGTAGTACAATGAACACTTTTAGGCAATTGACACCGAAACTTGAGGTCTCCACTCCAACTTCGTCATCGCTGGCTAAGCCCAATATATCGGTTACGGGAACTATAAGTCCTCAGAATCGGACTAAAACACCTACCCCGGCCATGGTAGCAGCTGCTGCCGCCGCAGCTGCAGCAGCTTTGCAGCAATCTCCAAGCACACCCTTCTTGGCTCTACCCACAAATCCAATTCTAATTATACCGTATTCACTGATACGCAGTGCGAGTTTAATAGCAGGACCATTGTGAGTGCTTCAGAATCAAAACTTTTTCAATATAATAAACTAACAGGATACACTTATAAATTCTCGACATAGAACCTCACCTTCACCTGGGGTAATAAATCCAGATACTACATGCTTTACTTTGGACAATGGAAATTTGAAACCCTTCGCAACGGCTTTAAATATAAACGCGATTAACGCTGCCAATGCTAATAGTATTGCGAACTCGACCGCTCCGCCTGCGCCAAGCGCTGCGGACTCTGCCCGTCATCAGCAACAGTCAACAAATAATAATAATAATGAATCTCTGTTAACTGAAAAGAATATTAAGCATAACGTGGAGGTAAACGATGAAATAGTCAGGCGAAAAGAAGGACCACTAAGGTGAGTCACTGCTTTAAGGAAACTTTTATCCATTCAATTTTTCGGCTTTCTTTTCTTTACAGAGAAACAGCACCTCTCGATTTATCGCTTCGACGATCTCCTATAGCTGCTTTACTACAACGCACGCGTTTGCATCCAGCGTCTTCTGCTTTTCTGGAAACAGAGCAACAAATAGAAATGGAATCCTTATTGGAGACTGGTAAAGAGAACGTTGCTTTAGACGAAGGTGGTAACATCACCCCCGAACAAATTGTCTGTGCTCCATCTTTACCCAATAGCCCGTCGATGAGCCCTTCGCCAAAACGTCGCACCATTAGCCCTCGAAGTTCAGGAGCCGGTAGTACTTCGTCGATTTCACCTCCGGTCTCTACCACCTCACTTAATTCCATTAACAATTCAACTAGTTTACTGGACAATCTACAATTGAGATCCATGCTTCCGGCCGATTTATTAAACCCATTATTAGCAAAGCAGAATTTGGAATTAGCTTTAAAGTTGTCAGCTGCTGCCGCTGCAGCTGTAAGCTCGTCGTCGGCTGCTATGCCAACGCCGGGCTCAGCAACGGCTGAACTAGCAGCCGCTGCAGTAGCAGCAGCAGCTGGTCGCAACTCGTTATTGGGTTTGCCTGTACTACCATCGGTAGCAGCCAGCAGTGGTGGCCCACCTGCCGGTAATCAACCCCAAATTTATGTCAAACAGGGTGTTTCAAAATGCAAAGAATGTAATATCGTGTTTTGCAAGTACGAGAACTATTTGGCTCATAAGCAACACTATTGTTCTGCACGCAATCAGGAGGCGAGTGACAGTGATAGCAAAGTATCTTCAACGCCACCCATAGGTGCGGCAGCCGCATCAACCGAAGCCACACCTGTGGCTTATCAGCAACTAATATGTGCTGCTTGCGGCATAAAATACACTTCGCTGGATAACTTAAGAGCTCACCAGAACTATTATTGCCCGAAAGGAGGTGGGGCCGCGGCTGCAGCAGCAGTGGCGGCTGCGGCTGTGGCTGCGACGGATTCTAATCAGCTTAGTCAGGCCAAAGAGAAGTGCAGCAAATGCAAAAATATTCATGAAATAGGTCTGCCATGTCCTCCCCCACCGGCTTTACAACAGCAGCAACAACAACCAACTTTAATACCGAACAGTAGTTCCGCTGGCGGCAACAATCAGAATGTGTATAAATGTCCGTTGTGTGATGCAGTCAGTTTGACAGCAACTGAAAGTCGTAAGCATATGGAAACCCATGGTACGGTCAAAGCATTTCGCTGCACTATATGCCGTTACAAAGGCAACACTCTAAGGTTCGTTTCTCAATTTCAAATTTAAGCCTTCCTTTATATTAAACCTTTTCATATAATATTACAGAGGTATGCGTACTCACATACGTATGCACTTTGATAAAAAGACCACCGATCTAAATGAAGAACATTACATGAGTTGTATTTTGGAGGACGAAAGCATTGAAATTCCGAGCGCGGCTTCCCTGAATACTGAACAGTTAGCTCAGCAACAAAAGCATTTACAGCAAGCAGCTGCCGCAGCGGCTGTAGCGGCTGGCTTTCAACAACAACAACAACAACAGCAGCAGCAGCAGCAGCAGCAAGGTCAACAGGTGTTTAATTGCGATATTTGCAATTACACGTCCACATATAAAGGCAATGTTGTAAGTCTATCAAGTAAATCAAGTGAGGAGAGAATGAAAAATGAAAAATGAAAAAAACTTATTACACATCTTAAGAGTGATACAATGCTTTTAATAACATGTAATTAAATAATTAATTGTTGCTCTTGCTTTACTAATTCTGTTTTCTTAGCTGCGTCACATGAAGCTGCTTCATCCTCATATCGTAACCAATTCGCCATCAATGTCGCCCGAGACGGGCGACTTAGAAATTGCCGATGTCGGCTCCGTCGCAAGCAGTCTTAACGGTGACAATAACGTAAACAGGTAGGTTGAATAGGAATTTACGAGTAATCGGTTCAGATAACCCTTAAAGGATCGTTCATTTAACAAAGAAATAAAAATTCTTATAAAAATTTGTAAAGAAACTCATGGATAATTGGTGATTATGGCACTATGACCGCACTGCTGACTGAGTCTAACTTTTTGAGATATTTCAGAGCGTCTCAATATATGTTAGAAATTAGTCTTACGTCGTGCAAACTTTTTTGAAATAATTTTTTTTTTTTTCTTTTTTTTTGATAAACCTTACTGCTTTCTTCAAGTTCTAGCAATGGAGCCATGGTAAACTTAATGAAGCGCAGAGTCGCCGCATATGGTCGATGGTTAATGGTGTTAACGACCGTAGAAGGATTTAACGAATTATAACGAATAATAAAATGACAGAACCAAATGCTTTTATTACATGAGCTACTGCTAGGCTCAACATTTTTAACCATCAGTGGGACTGACTGCATTCAATGCTCAATGTCAAAAAGAAAATATGAAGAATTTATTTTTCCTACTTGCACTTAGAATCGAATATCAATAGTAATCTATTTATTCCGTGGCTTACGGAGGCCCTTACAGTAGGAATTTGCGGTTTGGGAGAGATGAAATTGTCATTTTCTCATTTTCGTACACCTTTAACTTCTATACATCGGCTAATCTACTTAATAAGATTGTATAGATCTAAATAAATGGCAATTGGAAGGGTAAAGGTCTGGAGAATATAGGGGGTGCAATTGATTATTTTTGCTGTGGACGAAAGGACGTATGCGAATTTTCATCATCGTTTCCACGCCCAACATTTCTTCCCGAAAGCCTCGTGGATCATTTCCTAGTGCATTCGTACCTTAAGCATTCCCGTAGCTTCAGCTGCCTTTTTAGCCCAGACTAAACCAATTAAAGATACGTCCATCTCTTTAAACATTGACATACACTAAAGGACAACTTGAAAGAAACCGAACCTTACAACGTTCGAACATCACTATCCAAGTTATATATATGTGAAAGTTCGGAAAAAAAAGCAAGCAAGCAATTTTAGCGACAGAAATTTATTTATAATATTAGAGATGATTGGACGCACGCACACTTGGGCACTTTTTTATCTTATCTATTTTTGCTTGAAAGGAATTTCTTTTAACAAATGAAATCTCTTACTCGATTTCCTTACAGTTTTGCTATTAAATCTGAGCCGATAGAACATACCACAACCGCAATCAGCAATACACCCGGCATTATGCTTAATCCTCATGACAATAACAATTCTCCTTTATTGAACACGAGTACTACTAGTACTACTGCTGCTACTAATGCGAATCCTAATGAATTGATGATGCCTCATATAAAATCCGAACCTATGGAAATTTCAATAGATCCACCATCTAGTCTAACGTTGCCGCCTAATTTACGTTCACCGGCTTTGGGTCCGCCACCGCCTCTAAATACCACGCCTGAAGAGAATATTAATCAAAAATATTGTCAAACTTGTGACATTTCATTCAATTATATGAAAACTTATTTAGCCCATAAGCAATTCTATTGTAAAAGCAAATTACGAAGGCCTGAAACAAATGACAGTCCTAGTCCAAACTCGGCCAATCTAATAACATCGATGCCTTCGCCTAACAGTTTGCCATTGTTGCAGAAAAACAAGGAGAATATGCAACAAGAGGCGGCCATTTGATAGAATCAATCGTGGTGGTGGCCAGAAAATAAAAATCATTGGGAATGGTATTCGAAATGTTTTTGAATTGGCCCCCGTTTCGTTGCAGATCATATCACGTGGAATTGTGAGGTGAACACCTTAAGTTGGATATTAAAAGAAAAAAAACAAAAACAAAAAAGACGAAGAAGAAGAAAGAGAAGAAGAAAAAAAAAAATCTTTCTAAATATGTTAAATGTTAGATGCAAAGTATTGTTTTCCTTTTCAATTGTAAAATTTTGAATATGAAATGAACAGGTTTTTAGTATTTCATCGTAAAGAAAATAAAGAATCTCTCATACATACATATATATATATATATGATTATATACAATGTCTGCATATATATATCATTATATTATATACAATGCATAAACATAAAAAAAATCTTTATTAGAAAAATATACAAAAACAACAACACGAATAACAAATCCAACAAAACCTACAACTTGACTAAAGCCTAACATCAAAACTAAAAATTTGAATTGAATTCTTAATAAGCAAAAATGACAAAAAAAACAAAACAAAAAATAAATCCGAATGAATGCCAAAGTCACAAAAAATAATATAAATGAAAAGATAAAAAAATTTTAAATAATTAAACTAAAAAAAAAAAATTCAAATTTTTTAAAATTTCGTTACGAAAAATTAAAAGAAAAAAAAGTAAAATCAAAAAATTTTTATTATTATTTTTTTTTTTTTCTTTTGTTACGTATCTCTCTTTGTTAACTATTTGTATACTTAAAATTAATTATCACTATTTTATGCAACAACTAATGTATTCCGAAATGCAATTTAATTTAAAGTTTTCTTAGGTACACAAATGTGTTCGTGAAATGTTCTCTTTTTCTCGATTAAAAAGCTTTCTTTTCCGTTTTTTTATCTTTCGCTAATTTTTAAAATTATTTTTCTATATTCACTTTGACTTTTTTAAAAAGAAATTTTTTTTTCAATCATCATCAATACGTGGGTAGCTTCCAAAACATAATCCATCAAATATAGAAAATCAAATTTAAAATAATTACTATAAATATATGACAATAATATAATAATTTATTCTAAATAATATTATAAAAGAAAAAAAAAAAAAATTAAAATTACTTTAGCTGTAAAACTCCAAAAATTGTAATTAAAACCAAGAAATGAAAATCTTTAAAAAGAGAAAATAAAAAAAAAAATAAATAAAAACCATTTTATTCTCTCAAACCGCTAACCTAACTAGGTGTTAGGTAATTTGACATATTAAGTAGTAGGTATTTTGAGTTATATTCTGTTTTTGCGATCGGTCAATAGTCATAAAGGCAACTATTCTGTTTCGATCTTTTTATCAATTTTGGTATTCCGAAGTAATTGTGATAAGAAAATTGTGAGTAAACGTGATTGTTAACTCGTTCATGAGTTATAAAGCTACTTTAACAGATTTCCTGAGTTATAAAGCTACTTTAACAGATTTCCTAAGTTATAAAGTTGGCGGTTTTGCAAATCAAACGATCTGGCAATTTAAGTTGTTAGTTGGGCATTCAACCATTTAACAGAGCTGCCATTTTTGGCAATTTTTTTATTTGTTATAGGCAACTCTGTGCTTTGCCTTGTTTGAGTATGATATGATCACAAATATATTTAACAGTCATCAGTTACATTGCTCTGCTATTAAACAGTCATCAGTTACATTGCTCTGTTACGTACCTATAATCAGTCACATTGCTCTGTTATTCAACAGTAATCAGTCACATTCCACTCTTGTTAACAGCTGTCAGTTACATTGCTTTGCCATTTGATAAATTGGTATTAACAAGCAGAAGCAATTTTGGTTTGAGAGCGAAATCAACTCTGCCCGATGCGAACAATAAGAAACACATTGGCCCGTAAATACGCACGCGAGACAGCACTTATTATTTTTTTTTTACAAAAATTATTTAGTTAGAAAAGTGTCCGAATTAACAAATTTTTAATTGATAGCCTGTGTTGCGAGTGCTCAATGTCTTTTTTTTAGTCTAAGAATTCAATTCATTAGTCTAAAATTAAAATAATAATAATAATAATAAAAGTTATAGGGGTCACTATATAAAAGTTTCAGAATTTAAGTATTCTTCGGTTATGTTACAGGGTGGATTACATACACTTAATATGTGCAAAGAGTGCTTATACTTATTAAGACGGAGCATACCGTTTCGTTCTCAGTAAAATCTTGAGCAAAATGAAAACAGTCTAACGATATGGACAATGAAACGAAAAACATATACGTATCACAAAATTAAGCTTTAGGTTAAAGATCATATGGAGATGACTTGATGAAAATTTATCAAATTTTAGCAGACATAATGTGTAATTATTATTATTATTATTATTATTATTATTATTATAAATTTAGCCAGAGAATAAATTCTAAGACTAAAGTCTTAAAGCACTAGCATCTAGGGCTATCGGCTTTTTATTAAAAACTCTACCGCACTTGAGGTTTAAACCCACGACTATAATGTGTAATTAAAATATGCCAATATGATGAAAACAATAGGAAATCTAAAGAAAATGTCTAAGGGCCGTTCAATCGTTTTTCTAAAAATTTTAAAAGTAATTATTTTCTCTTGTTTGTTATTATTGTTAAGCATCTAGTTTCTAATAAAACAAATTCATAAACCACTAGCTTATTATTCATTTTTATCTAAGGAACAAGCTTCAATATCAGTCTAGAAAGAAAGAACCGATTTACTATTAGATATTAATTAAGGAGGAAAAAATTTGCGACCCACAGGATTTAAAAAATTCATTTGCTTTTCTTCTGTGGCTCATGCCACCGTTCGTTGAGTTTATCCATTTTATCTTACTGTTCATTTTTATCTAAGGAAGAAGCTTGTATACCAGTCTAGAAAGAAAGAACCAATTCGCTATTAGATATTAATTAAAGAGGAAAAAATTCTTGCGGATTTATGCACACTGCTACCAGTACGAAATAGCTTCGTAACAAGTTTACAGACCATAGGCCAAGTTTCTTTGCGTACAAACCCTTTCCGAATAAATTATTAACTTCTAATGTTTAGCAATTTTGTATCCATTTATTTATGATTTTTGCGTTAAATTAGGTGTTTTGTTTCAATTATAATAATATTAACTTATCATTTGTTTACTTTTGTATGGTTTTAAATTTCTTTGTGAGAATTTGCTTAAAGTCCTTAGAAAAAGTTGTTAATAAAACTACAAAAAACATGTAAGGGGAGCGGCGATTGGATATAAAGTATAGAATAGAACAAAAAATAAATGTATATATACGTAGATAAAGTACCAAGTATATGGATGAAATTACTGATGTTCACAAATCTATTCCGTAGCAGCCATTGCTCTGGCCTGGGCACGTACGCGTTTCTCATATTCTAAACGATTCTGGCAATAAATTGTATAAGCTTCGGCCTGAGCGGGATCCTTAATGTTTGGTTCATTGAGTAGATCTTGTATGCCGAGTAAAATTTGTTTTATGGTTATGGCTGGACGCCAATCTTTTTCTTCATCCAAAAGTGACAAACATACCGTGCCCGACGGATAAACATTAGGATGGAATAGTGGTGGTTCAAATTTACACTTTGGTGGCGATGTAGGATAATCATCTTTGAAAATCATGCGTAATTTGTATAAACCACCCTCCCATGGAGTACCCTTCTTGCCGGGTATAGCACATTCCCAAATCATAAGATTTAAAGTGCCATCGGGATTTTTGGCCGGTCGCGCTACGAAACCAAATGGATGATCCTTACGCCAGGCCTTACGTTCTTCTCCCAAACGTGTTATAGCAATTCCAGACATTTGTTGTAATTATTTTACGGATATTTAATAGAGGAAAATGCAAGAAACCAAATCAAGGTTACTGGCAGTAGGCGAAACTAATTTTTCGTTTAAGTTTCTGTTCTATTTTTTTTTTTTTTTATCACACGTTTTTAAGCAATTGTCTACGAGTTCTTACACAATTTCACGTGATAAATTTATACACTTCTCCGTCAGAAATTTTCGTGCATATGTTCCGAATTATTTTTCCGTAAATTCCTAAATATACTGCTAAAATTTTACCGTACTTTTCTTGTAAAATAGAAGCGCTTAATTTTCGCTTTTTACCTTTTCGTATTATTTTTCGCAAAAATGGCGATTAGCGTGCTTGTGTATGTGCAGCTGACATTCAATAGATTATTGGCGTCGTTAAATGCAATTGGCAACGCGTTAATTCTAAATTCCGTAAAGTAGGTTGTGGGGACTTTTCTTGTCGGTATATTCCTATGAAAACAAATATTTTTTACTAAATTCTGGCAATAATTTCTTATTGTTTGAAGGCTAAAACCGATAAGATGCATAAAATAGGAAATTCCTATCGATATTAGGGAATTAAGTGCTTTAATGCGAAAAGTATAAAGTTTTTGGTTCCATTTTTTATATATTCTGTTCAAGAATTTATTTTTTGACAAAAAACGTTGAAATATAAGATTTTTTATTTATACGCAGCATGCTTGAGATAATTCTTTTCTGGCAATGGCTTAAGCGTAAACCTATCTAAACTGTGCGAAAAAGGGGAAAAATGAATTTGCCGCATACAACAGTGGAAAATTTATTTGTAGAAGTAAAATAGACTTAATGCTGAAAATTGCAATTAATTGAAAAATATTAAAAAGAAAAATACGAAAAGATTTTGTAAATAAATTTAATTGCGAATAACAATAACAAAGAGAAAAAGAAATATATATTAATTTTGAGCAAAAATTCCATGAATTGTGTACCACCAGCCCAACCCTAAGCAAAAAAAAATCTGGAAGAAATCGAATACGCAACAAAGCACTTGTTTCAGTAGCTATTTCAATATGTTTGGAAATATAAAATATGGAAAAACGAAGAAAAAATGCGTACAATTATTATTTTCATTTTAAAATATCTTATTAAAAAGTGTGAAGGATTTCAATGAAATTAATCAGAAAATTTTCAATGAAAAAAAGTGTGTGTGTTTGTACTGTGGGTGTTTAAAGTACAAAAGCGAAAAATCAATAATCAAGATGGACGTAGAAGAGGATGAAATTGACTTTGGCTTTCCGGAAGCAGGCACATGGAATACCACGGGCCATATAGCTTTGGAAAATATGAAAATTGATGCTCCTATGGTAATTATATGAAATTAACAAAATTCTTCGGTAATTTTAATCAACTTTCTTATTTTGTTGTTATGATAGAGTGTTATATAGAATTTGCCAAATGTATGCAACACTTAGAAATATGGACACGAGAGGTCATAAAGTACATCTTTGAACAGAGCGTATAGTAGGATGGATAAGCAGCCATGGCCCAACTGTCTGTCCGTCCGTTTAAATACCATGAGGAATTTAAAATCTTGGTTAGAAAAGTAAACTGGGACAGCTGAACATAAATGCATATAATGCAACTCGCAAAGTTCAATTGCATTGAGGTATAGAAATGAATACTCTCTCTGTTTTGCGAGCAGATAAATCTTAACTGTTATTGGAGTATAGAAATAAAGTACTTTTATTAGTTCGTTGTAAGGGTAATCATATAGGGAAGTAGTGGGTATAAGCAAATTTGAATTAAGGAAAATCCTGACCTTATTCTTACCTCTTTGGACTACTCACGATTAATATTAATACTTGATATGTGACAATATAGTGAAAGCAACAAGGGTTTGGCTTCAAAGATGTCTATTTTCCGATGTCCTTTTTTACAAAGTGAAGTTGAAGTTTAGCGCGTACAAACACACACACACACACACAATTTGTTAATTGAAGTAAGATAGATGAAAATAGTTTTGTCTGGGGCACGAACAATGTATAAAACCTTAAATCTACAGAAACTTAATTGGGTGCAAGTAATACAATATTTCATTAATTGTATAATATTTGTTGGCAATTTGGGAAGATTAGTTCAACTGAAAATCGAAAATTGTTAACTGGTTAGAAACTGTTTTCGTACTCCAAAGGTGCAGCTATTATCAATACTTTCTGGTAATTGGAAACCTTTCGGGTCATGTCGTGAATCGATTTTTATCACCCCAAGCACGCTTATATGTGCATCAATTTTGTTATATCATTTGCAATGGAAAGACTCACTAAGGCTTTGTGTGTGGTTCAATCAAGTCAAAGTCTTGCGCCAGTCACTTTTTGATTGAATATTCAAAGTCCTAATTGCTTAGTAAATCCCTAAAGCAAAATCCGTTTACCAATCGCTCAATCCTCCAATGCACCCGCAATGCTTGGCAGAAAAAAAAGCGAATACTAGTAACCCGAGATTTTGCATAACAGTCGGACAATTAACTTTTAATCGACTCATAGGCATCTCGCTCGCGACACGATAATAGTTTCTTTTTGTATTGTAAGTGGTGACCTTCAAATAATTTTGATATTTTATAAATTATGTATTACCAGTGTATTGCCTTTCAATTTTTATGTAAAAAGTTACAATTGCACTTCTTCAAAAAGAACTTAATATCATTTGTTGCTTTTTAGTTTTCCAATTGTTTTTTTCTTTTTTTTCTTATCATACAAACAAAAAAGTTTTTCGCTCTTAATACCTTCTCCTGTGTGTTATCTCATTGTATAACAAATTCAGCATATGTTTTTTACCCCTTAATAATGAATCAGCTGTTTCGGCCTCTTGTCGTTATTTTACAATTTTTTTTTTCATTCTTACTTAAAGCGAGTAAACACTTTTTTCGATTTAAGTTTATTTCTTTTAATTTACATATATATACAATTGTGTGTTTCATCGATTCTCTTTATTGTCATTGTTATTTCTTTGAACTAGTACGAGTACGTCTTAAGCCCAATAGTCGCCACTTGTTTGGTAGGTTTACCGTTACTACTATATCGGAATCTTTTTCCATTTCCATTTCCTGAAGGGGCATTTCCTATTGATGCATGGTGTACTTGTTTCAACAGCATTTTTAAGAAACTCTCCTAATTCGGGTGTCGTAGTCTCGCTTTTTAGTGAATTTGTATTGGTGCGCATGTTCATCATGAAGTGAAAATAAACAACAAGTGTGTTTGTAAACAAAAGTTTTGTTTTGTTTACGTTTAAAGCAAGAACGAAAAAAAAAGTAGAAAATGTAAACAAACTTTCACTTTCTAAGCATTGCAATGAGCTTTTTAAACATGTTCCATAAATCATGAGAAAATATTGCCCGTATTTAGGAAAAAAGAAAAATTTTGCAAATTTGAAATTTTTTTTTGATTATATTGAGTTTAATAGTGTTATGCAGCAAACAATATTACTATTTGAAAGAAATGATTGCAAGTACTTCCAAAGAAATCTCGCAATGATTTTTAAATTTATGTTCAACTGAATCTGTTCTTTTGCTAGCAGTTTAAATAAAAACAAGCATGACTGGCCGAGTAGACAAAGGATCTCGGCTAACAATTCAATGATCGTGGGGTCAAATCTCAAGCGCAGTAGAGTTTTCAATGAAGCGGATGGCCTTAGATGCTAGTGCTTTAAGACTTAAGTAGGATTTAATGCTCTGACTAAATTAATTACAATAGTAATAATAATAATAATAACAATAAAAACAAGTAAGAATATTATGGTCGGGGCAAGGCCGAACATTAGACACCCTACACCAATTCGCTCAGTACAATTATTCGCTCATCAAAAACACCGAAAATCGTTATTTGCTTTTATTACTTTCCACAACTTGACCAAGACATTAATTTGTGGGCACTATTACAATTAGAAAGAAGAGAGAGAAGAGAGAATTCGGATTTTTAAAATAATAATGATACCTTTTTTTCAATTTACTAATCTTTAATTCTGCCAATCAAAGCAAATATGTTTAATGTCAAATTTAAATCGTTCAAGGCATGTTTTTTAGTCAATCTCTTCATCTATCTGTTAACTGCTGTGGTAAATGTGCTGTACTTAGTTTAATTTAAAATAAACTAAAAAAAATCGACTATGCCTACTCGATATTATAGAGCATTAAAATTTCATTCTTTTGTCAAAATTTTTTCAGCACCTGAAAAGAAGCGTCAGGAACCCTGTAAAATTCAGGACCCTGTAAGGTCCACATATTACTGATTATCATAGTCACCATATTGCTGATGAGTATCAAACGGTCATGGGCATAAAAGTTGTGGTCGCGGTTGAATATGATTTTCTTACTATTTACTTATTAACCAAAACCTTGGTGTTCCTTCGCAAGATATTCTTCTTTATTGTATTGACACAACACCAATTGAATTTCATAATTTGTAGTTCGTAATTTAAACTCGCCGTATCAATCTCGAAATTTTTATATAGAAGAAGAAACTTTGTCATCAAATTTTTCTTATCGCTATTTTCGCTAATTGGTTCTTTGGTGAACACCCTTAAAAGATGTCCTTTTATTAAAGAATTAATGTTTTCTCAGAAAGACCAGCATGGATGTAGTGGCCAGCGATGGTAATATTCTGAATAAAATATCTTCACCATTTTCTTGAAGCAAGCGAACGAATCTAAAGAATTTATTTGCACACACAAAATGGCTAATGTTGTTATCCTAGACCGCAGAACGAATTCCTAGTCAGTCTCGCATGTTTTTAAAATTCTGAAACTTACAATAACTGGGATGGAAAGCTGCAACGTTTTACACGTACTTTTCAATAGATTCCAAAAATGAATCTGGAAATTTCTGTGTCACGCCTTGAAATGTACACTAAGTAGATGGTAAGGTAAAAAAATAACATAAAGGAAAATAGGAAATAAGATGATATAACGATACTACTCAATAAGTTCTTGGGACGATATATAGATGAATGATTTTTCTTGATGATGCCTTTTATTTTTATTTTTTTTACTTTTATTTTTGGAAAACAATTAAAAATCTAAATTTCATCTGCAGCGGCACTAAAATAACTCATAATCAGAATGGACACAATAGTGTTGAGTATAAGTTTATTGGATGATATGCTATTTAGTATTGCAAAATAAAATTGCCTTTTTTTTTGTTTGCTTGTCTCTAATGCCCTTTACTCACTTTAAGTCACCGAAAGGAACCAGTTTTTGTTTTCACTATATAGATGAGGATTCAGTTAGTCTTCTTATTCTTTTCAGTTGAATTCTAATTTTTCGACAACATTTGACTGAGTGGGCAATCTACTATAATTTATTCTAGTTTGAAACGCCTATTCAACATTGTCGAAAAACAGCTGTTATTTTCAAGGGTGAATTATATTCTTCCCGATTTCCTTTCTCCTTTTGAAATAACAATTAGCCGTTTATTTGGACAATGTTGCTTACTATCATTTTGCAAATCTTCATCGTTTATTTTCGAGTGAATGTAGTAACAAAAAGTAATATAGTGGAGCCACCCGTTATTTTCTGTTATATACTTAGTTGCTTATTCTTATTGTTATAAAGTTGAGTCATAAGTAACCGATGCGGCTAGGTAGACTCTATTGCTCGTATTTACCCTTTATTTACGACATATTCTTTTCAGATATGGCTTTTATGCTCTTTGCTCACATCCATAACATGGGTAACTTATATAACATTTTACAATTCCCGAGTGATTGGGATGTTAATCACGAAAATAGCTAACCGTTGGTTCATAAAAGGAGCCTTCTTTAAAATAGGTAAGCAATTTTCATATATCTATATGGTTTTTTTTTTTTTTTTATATCGGTTTCTCTTTAGGCTCGGTATCTCTTAATCCACTGGCGGGTAAAATAATGTTTCGTGATTTCGTTTATATTACATACGATTATTCAGTGCGTGCCCAGGATGGTTATTTCATATTCCGTTGGTGGCGTTCCTATGTACCGAAAGATGTGTCTGAGGGTAAGTAGTCAAAGGATTAAATATATAATCGATAACGTTTTTTTTTATACTTTGATTTAGATCTATCGCATTCGGATACTAGGCTTTCAGTCCAGTTGAATGGCTTTGAGTTGCATATTTACAATCGTTCGGAATTGTATGACGAACTAGAAAGAACTTTTGGTTTAAAATCTTCCATTTTAATACCGGTATGTTAAGAAAAAGAAGAAGAAGAATAATTTGTGTTTTAAATTTGCGTGATTTCGATTTGCAGACCGATCTACTTTCGATGGAAGAGCGTACTAAACTTAAAGAGCACACTATGAATATGGAGAATGCCCGGCAGAGTAAACGAGACAGCGTTAAAAATTCGGAAGCTATGAAAGCTACCACATGGCGCGACCTTATACCGGTTATTAAAATTGATATTTGTTCGGGCCGTTTCGTTTTCGGTAATCGTTTAACACCTACTACCCTATCAATATCTATGGATGAAGCACATTGCACATATAGCACGAAGCCGGCTGTATGCCGTTTGGATCATTTTATGCATTTCGTTAAGGCAAATGTGGAAAATGCTAAGGTGATGTTTGCCCCAAGTCCAAAGTATACAGGTTTGGTAGATGAGCCGCCTCGTTATATGGGTGAAGGATTCGTTGTGATGATGTCTAATCAAATGGATTTATATTTCTATATGGATGAGCCAGGTGTAGTGCCCGAAGAACCGGTACATATCATCATGGCGAATGGTGATAAAGTGGAGCCTTCTCCTCCCGTTTGGGGTATAAATATTAGGTGCCTAAAGGGTACCGATTTCAGTTATGGACCTTGGGCCGATCGTCAGCGGGATCATCTTTTTAAATTTTTCTTTCCTCCCGACTGGCAAGAAATGCAAGTGACTGCTACACCCAAACCGGAAGAGTTACGCAGTTATCAGTCTTTTGATATTACTTTATGTGTATTAAATGAAGCCACCATAGATATCTTATTCTCTAAAGATAAGGAAACTAATGTTATGCATGTTACCGTTGGACCAGCTTCATATGTTGAGCTTACTTTGCCTTGGGTTACCCATTCCGATGGTTATACTACAAAAATTCAAGGCCAACTCTTTCATGCAGAAGCTACTACGTCATTACAATACCGTAGTTTAGCTGAATTCGAATCACTGGAATATAAAGTTCGCATACACTACCCCACCAAATGGAATGCTCCGCAAGACTGGAATATATCATTAAGTGGTTGCAAGGCGACCGCATTTATTGTTTACAAACACAAGTGTTTTTTCCAAGATCTCATTGAAGATTGGGCAAGCAAAACTCGCCCAGATATTTTAACCTTTGTGCCATATACCTGCAAGTTTAATATACTCCTTAATGACTTTGAAATACTAACGCTATGCAATGAGTATAATTGGATCGATTGTTCTAGCGCCAATCAAGAAAATAATCATTTGGCATTTTGCGGCGACGTATTCGACATGAGTTTTGCTTTGCCGTTTGATGATTTTCTACCAAGGACGGTTACCTTAAAGTTTTGGATTCATGGCGAAGGCTTAGATCTGAGTTTGTATGTACCGGAAGTATCTTCTACTCGACCTATAGTTTTGGCCATTGATGATAATGCTCGTTTGTTAACACGTGGTGGAAAAATCAAAAATCGGCCAGAGTTGTATTCGAAGAAATGGCGTAAAATATGTCAACGTTCTTCAGGCTGGATCGATTGTTGGACTGTACCCATTGTAGCTTTATCTATTCAATATATTTATCATCCGGTACCTCCTTTAGGACCGGATCCCCAAGCTGATATAACCACACCTGAAAAAGAAGAAATTTTGCTCAGTCCCATGCGTATCCCAAAAACGCGTAAATCACCTATCAACAATTGGCCCAAACCAGAACCGACCAAATTTGATCCAGGCACGTTGGTAGCCGACCATGTTACTGTTGAATTGGAGATTGGATCGTCGGTATTAATGTGTTACGGCAATGTGCTGCGAAACTTTATCAATTTGAAAGAAAATATCTTCGGTGAGGATCAACACTTCACGGATATGGAGCAGTCTAACATCAAGTCAAAAGAGACTTCAGCAAATCCGGTAAATCCTAAAGATCAATTGCTATCGAAAGATAAGGACCTAGCTACTAAATCTATCTCCGAAGTTACAGTGCCTGAAGAGAAGCAAAAGCCCTTTGATCCGCGTCTCTATAGACCGTTAGAGGTGGTAGTCTCGGTAATTATACACGATATACAGGCTCATATTATGAAAAATTGTAGCGATACCGACCCTTCTTGCCCGGTGGTGTTGATTGAGCGTTTCGGTTTTGAAATGAATAAAAGGTATCATGAGACTACCCTGCAAGTTTTAGTAAGTCCTTCGTATCTTATCTCTTCCGACACTTTGGTACGTCAAAATCGTGATAAGCACATCAATCAAGGGCATTTAATGCTCTCTGCGGTACAGGTTCGAGGTCATGCCATGTTCAGTAACGAGGGTTGCGCTCTAGATGAGGATACGTTGGAATATTCATGGCTAATAGAAGTGCAGCTAGGCAAGCTATCTGGCAAACTAACTCTACCCCAACTCTTTAACATAGCCGTAGGCTTGGAGACTTTGGCACTGTTGGCTGTTGATCCTGAAAACTGCTTAAAGTCGCCTAAAACGGTGCGCAATTGCCATCATGGAGTGCCCAGTAATCAATGTCCACACACGAAGGAGGAAAATAAATATAAATGTCCTTCAGCTGAAGACATTAAATACAAAATGACCCGAGTTTCCATAGATGCCGTGGATGTATATTTAATAGAAAGCGGTACCGCTTTGCACGCTTGGGCAAGTATTAGAAACTAAAAACGAATTTTTTTTTAAGTATGAAATAAACTTCAGATTTCTCCAATACGTTTGGCTAATTGTAATTTGCATGGACAACGCGTGAAATCGGGTATTTCTGGTCTATTACCCTCTATTCTCGTAAGGCTCTTTATGCTTAATGCTGGTTGTATTACAAACATGACAAATTCATATAACACCAACACCACTGGTAGTAATCGTTCTGGTAAAATACGACGCACTGATCAAGACTCAGTCAAATCGGAGGCTCATCAACAGCAGCAACCACAACCACAACCACAACCACCAACGCATACCAGCAAACATAAACGCAGTTCAAATTCCTTCTCTCAACGACGTGATTCCAAAGAAGATAGTTCCCGTAAGCTTAGAGATAGCTTCTCGGAATGTCGGCGACCCGTCGTCTGCGACAACGAGTTCTTTGAGAATTGGGTAGAAGTAGGCTGTACTTCCTTAGGCCCTATATTGTTAGAAGGCGCCTCGGCATTACCGATACCTGATCATAAGTTACACATTGTACAACATAAGTAAGTCAGAAATTATTCTTGTAGTTAACACAGAAGGATAAGGGTATGAAAATATTTGGAACTCCTAGAAGGTCCCTTTTGAGACCTTATAAAGCATATAGACTATTAATCAACATAAAATTCTGAATCGATTTAAACATGTCGATCTGTTTGTCTGTCCGTTCAGCCATTTGGGAAATACCTATGCTAAAAATTCTTCTGCTCATAGAAATAAACAAAACAAAAGGATTGGAAGTTGTTGCATGCAGGGTGACGCTGAATAGGAGGCAAATCGGTTAAAGGACGTTCACTTAGCATACTTCTGATTTTAAAAGGCAAACTAATGGGGTTTTTGCTTGTAAAATTGCTTATAAATTATTATATATGTTATTATAGCAGAAACAACGCGAGCAACACCCAAGCAATCCTATAATACCTGCACAGAAATAGAACACATGGGCCATGTCCGTCCGTTATTGTAGAGCATCGATATTTGACTTTCTTCGAACTAAAAATGGGAGGTATAAAAGATTCGGGCACAGCCATATTTAATTTTCTTGTTCGTTAATAGCTCATTTACTGTAACATATCGCTTTTTAGTTTCTTACGCGAACACGATGCTAAGTATAAACGTTTATGGTTTTTATGGTCTGCTAATACAAACGCCAATGCTGTGGGCACAGTTGTCGATATATCGCGTTGCGGCTGCATTGGCGGATGCGCTTTCTTTGGCAGCAATCGTAATGGTTTGAAATTCTTTAAACCATCTGCTCAGGACATTCAAGATAATTATAATATAGCGCGTTACTTGTAAGTACCGTTATTGGATAAAGTTATTTACTTCACTTAATAATTGTCTTTATCATTAAGTGTTATCAACAATAATAAAGATTTTGGCTTCGGTGAGAGTATTTTACATCAAGGTCAGCTGGTCTTTCATACACCGCCCTACAGTTTACACTCAGTATCTTTGCATGATAATGCCGAGTTTACAGGAAAGGTAAATATTTGCAGCTGTTGTAGTCTTAAATCATTCAAATGTTAACTATATGTGATTTAATCAGATAAATCTGTTTAAGCACTTGATTGATTGAATAGTCGAGAAGTAAATCATTTAAGCATAATATTTTTATAAATAGAAAGCAATATACGCTTGGCGCTTTTGAAGCAAGATCAAAAACGCAGAGATCCGTGACGTAAAATAGACCTACATTTCCGATCGATTCAGGATCACTTTGTGAAGCAATCTAGGCTTGTCTGTCCATCTGTTCATCATGTTTTCTTTTGATCAAGCTATAATCCGAAATCTTTGATTTGGTGTTTTGGCTCAAGGGCGGACGCAAATTTTGCGACCACTTCCCATATAAAGCCTTTTTTTTGAAAAAAACGTCAGATCAATAACTGCAGCCTCTTAGGCCATCGTAGCGTTTTTACTTGTTTACTTTACGATACATTTTTATATCACTAACTTATTTTTAAAAATTGTCGACGCCTTTATTAGAGCATCTTAGTCAAGTCTTAAGGCAATTAATTTCAATCATTTTGCGCAATTTTATTGAAAATTCTTATACAATTGTAGGGTAAGCTCTATCGTCCGGCTGCCGTAATAAATGGCAGTCTGAAGAAAAGCGATATGGCTAATAAAGATATGAGTTCAAAGGTTAAGTTGGGCGGCGGCGCTACATTAGAGAAACAAGATATCAATGGCCGTAAATCACGTGAAAGTATTGGTTCTCCCAATACTTTAGAAAGACGCAGCAAACGTTACTCTTATACAACTTCAAGGCAAACATCGGTAGAAGTGCCTTATGCTCGCCTATTGGATAGTCCTTCGAAAAAGGTTCTGCGTCAAGATTCAACAGAACCCCAATATGTTGCATTTAGACGTGGCTCGGATTCTAATAAATCCCAAAATAATACTTTAAGGGTATCAACGCCTAAAACCAGTATTTCAGATTCGCGCTTGACAGACGAAGCGAATGTCGAAGACGAACTCGAGGTACAAAGTTCGATAAAAGTTGTTTTTGCTAAATATCAATTAATCAATGCGATTCGATTATTTTTCATAAGATACCTGATGAAATGTCTCATTCAGCTCCACATTCTCATCCATTGGAATTTGAAATTGCTGATATTGCGCAGACGCAGTTACCGCTTGATTTGACAAAAGGAGAAAACTTAACGCGTGAAGTCCAGCGTACTATTTCTTTAACTTCGGAAAATCCTTCCGAAATGTTCTTTTCAGCCGAGGAAGATATTTCGAATATGATGTCGCAGCGAGGATCAATTAAAACGCAAAACGGCTCCATTATATTCTCGGGTAAAAAGAGATTCTCTTCTGACTTAAGGTAAAGTAAAAAATTAAATTGACATTTTTTTAATTTGAATAAAAATTTTTTTTATAAAATTATTTCAGTATTGGTGCTCAAAATGAAAATCAAGCTTTATCCTCTCTGAATACGTATCGTAGCGATTTGGAGATACATGCTCCCGAAATTAATAATAAGTCCTTACCGAAAAGACCGCAAAGTACTACTGAACTAGTAAGTATTCTTTCCAGATAGATAATGTTTCTGCTACATTCTTTTCTTCTTAAGTTTCTCTTGTCAATTTATTATCACTTAATTACGCCTCACCTCATTTACTTAACTAAAAGCTTTTCAGCAAATCAATTATATATATTTAAAATTAATATATATTAAAATTTCTCTGTATTAATACTACAATGCGTTCTTACTACTACTATCGTATACGATTATAAATTAGCAGAAAAAAAAAAAAAAAAAAAAATTAAATTTAAAAACGATTTTAACTTTGTATAAAACGAAATTTACTTTCAATAACAATTTCAACATTTATCTTTATTTGCTGAATCAATTCAAAATTTTTGATGCATGTTATGATACTGTTTAATTTCGTTTTCAACAAAAAATCTTTTTATTGTCTCTAAAATTCCTGAAAAGATGTGAAAAAAACAACAACAACAATTACTTATTTCTACTTTTTCAAAAAAAAAAAAACCAAAAAACAAAAATCTCTACAATATACGCAACAAATTCATTAAATTCATAGAACGAAGACGCCAGACGTATTCATGGTCTTGCTACACCAATCAGAAAACTAACAAATATATCATCAAGACCTGAGTATCGACATTTTATTCATGATGTGAGTAGTTTCCTTTGACATTTTTAGTTTTTTCATTTAGTAAAGAATATTAATATTTCCCCATATATATATATATATATATATGTATATATATATATAGGTACTGTTTTTATGCCCACCACTGAAGGGAAGAAGATATAACATATTTGTCATTCTGTTTATAAATCCCGCGAAAGCGTCCAAAAGATCATCCAGAGGGTTTGTGTACAAAAACGCATCAGATATAACTTTAAGTGTGAATCATATATCAATCGTTACAGTGCTGTCATGCACGTGCATCAGCGGACACTTAAATTAAAATCTGAAAGCTGATATACCGCTTCTCGCGTTAGTTCCGTAGGTTTTTTTAAAAAAATTATTTGCCATTAGCTCGGAAACACGCTTAGATAATCCACGAGATTGAAATAATTTCGAAAAAGAATTGAAAATTTCGAATATTTCTCAAAGGAGGGATAATGTCTCCAAGAAAACAAAAATTTCCCTTAATTAACGCAGCAACGTTCGCGGTGGTGGGTACCGAAGATTCGTTCCGAGTCGAAAACAAAATATTTTACTTGTTGCTTTTTACCTCTAGTGGTTTATATTTACTTTAAATATTCTAATTTCACAAATGTTTATACAATTTTATCCTATTCTTAGTGAAAATTAGTTAATTTTATTACAAGTTAAAGGCAATGATTGGCGTTTAGTTTCTATGATTGGTATTTTGATTGTTAAGATTTCTTTACATCATCCACCACTTTAAATGTTATTAGGTAAATGCCCACTTGCCGAGAAGACTGAGATATATTTAAATTCAAATTCTAAAGAGCACTATTGCGTACAGCCATCGTATCTTTATATCCTATGTCACTTGTGGATGCAAGGGTATATTAAGTTTGGGCGCATGTATACAATACCCCAAGAAACTTGAACTAGATCTACCTTTCATTACACCAATCGATTTGGAATCATTTTCTGAATCGATTTAAACTTGTCCGTCCGTCGGTGTGTTTTGTTTTGATATGTCTACGGCTCGGAATTATTGAGATATATTGAAGAATATATGTTGTCTCAAGGACGAGAGCTAATGAAAATGGTTCGTAGCGGGCCACTGATAGTTTATATCGGAAACAATTTATGCAAGTAACTATAGGATAGTGCAGGATATTTAACAATGGGCTATGATCCACTACAATGTTTTCACTTGTATGTTATTGACATGGAAGCTTTATAAAATCTATGCAATTTCGTCTTCAATTACATTACGCTCAATGTCTATCAACACAACTCTTTATAATGGTACCAAATTGCCGTTACCACATCAAATGGGGTCAAACGTGAATTACATTGTTGGAATTGGCGAATTTTGACAGGTTTAAAAGTCGTCAAAATTATAACAAGTGTTATTACGAACATTTTGTGCGTACGCCGACCTATGCATAGGCGACTAAGATGCATTTAATTAACAAAAGGTTGGGCAATTTTTATGTGACTGCTTGAAGTGGTGGACAATCTTGGACTTGCTCTTAGAAAAATATAGTTGTTTAGTAGTTTATTTTATTTATTTCCCAATGTCATTTTCTTGGTTTTGCTTTGGTGGGAATGCCTTTGTCGATAAAGAACACCATCACTTTATGTTTGAAGTACACATTTGCACTCAATATCAATGCATTTGCATGAATGTTTGTCTTTTGTTGTGGCGTGAATGCTTTTTTATCTTTCTTCTATTTTAGAATCATATTTACAATATTTTCTGTTGTTGTTTGCTTTTCGTATTAGCAATCATTTTATTTCAAGTGAAACTATTTATTTCGAAATGAACTAACGGTAAAAACTTTTGATTTTGAATTATTTGAAAGTGATTATAATTTTCGGTAGTACAAAAAGAAATGCGCGGCAGCTTCCTTATCATTATCAGTCTTGTTAATGATTCTCTCCGCTAAAGATAAAATATTTTTTAGATAGTTTATAGAGAAGTCATACGTGACATCATCTGTTTGCATCTACATAAAAATTGCAATATCTACAAGTCGCCACGTGTGAAGGGCTGTTTGTAACCAACATAAAAGCACATAGAAATTCCTAATTTATAATTAAGGTGCTAATTGATGCAAAATTATATTTCATACCCATACAGTTAAATTATGAATGAATGACGATCTAAAATGTATTATTTTAAAAATCGATGCCAAGGATTTAAAGCCAATGAACCAGAAGACATCTCTTTTTAAAAAGACCCGTAATTAATTTACTATATCAACGGGGAAATCTAGCAGCTATTGGGGAAAACATTCAATTTCTGATTTATTATTGGGTGATTCGGAAAGAAATTTCGCTTTTTTTTTTTTGGCCAAAAACAAAAATCGGGACCAATAGAATCCAATAGAATAAACTGTCAGTGATCTCAGGACTTCTCATTCGGCAGTTTATTTCAGTCAATATTCTTTTGTCTTTATCGGCTGTTAGTGGTCATCGAAAATGTAGTGAACGAAGTATGCAGTGAAATTTTGCATACCAGTTTTGTTATTGGCGTTCTGTCCATTCATCGTCTCCATACGCATCTAATGATTTTTTTCATGCCCGAACATCGTTTTGCTAATAATAGAAGCTGCTTTCGACTTTCCATATTTGATAGCAAAATTCTTCCCTGACAGGCATTACACGGTATCAGCTATCAAATATATGTATATAGCGCGACTTAAATCTGAACTTGGTCGTAAAAAGTCAATTTATCCTTCTGCCTGTTCATCAGTTTGTCTGTCCATCTGTCTGATGTCTGTTCATAAATTTTCTCCGGGTTGGAATTTTGAAATTTTGTCAATGATGTGTGTTGGCCCAAGAACGACCTCTACGACAAACCGGTTGGACCCAATCTTTTCTACAACCACGCTCCATGTAAAACCATACTAAAACTATCACAGTGCAATCAAAGGCCGCTATAAAATACTCTGAATTACTTCATTAATACAATTCTCTATTTATTTTCGTGATAATTTGGATCAGATCAGTCTATTTTCCCAACGGGGTCACATAAAAAACTTCTCATAAAAGGTAAGTAAAGTCTAACTAAAAGTACTTTGTGGCGAAGATAGATGCAGAGTAATACGATTTTTAATAAGGTCCTAAACATTTTGCTAATCTTGATCCACACTGGTTCATCTGTTCAGCTCTCCTTCCCTCCCGCATAAAGTATGCATCTATATGTAGCGATGTAGGGTATGTAATGATCGACTTGCCTGACTATAATGTTTTGATTTAATTTGAGCTTTTTCTTCTTCTTTGTGCGAGTCAGCAAATCAATAACAAACAAATGATTAACTAATTTGAACTGGTTAAACCCTTTAAAGAATGTACGAAAAAGGTTTATTTGAAAATTTTAATATTTTTTGCTAAACTAAACGCGATTTCTGAACTTTTCAACGAACTTCTAATACCGTTGATCTATTTATCTAAGAAATGTTGTTGGGACATAAATTCAATGTTTATTTATGAACGAATATTTACGCTTTACGCTTTCGTTACTACTTTTAAGACTTTTGCATGCACATTATTTTTCCTGGTGTTCAAATTTGGATTTAAAGATCTTTTTAATAAAAGCACATTTTTTTGCCCTTTCAGTTTCGATTTAAAAGCACAATTCTTTTGCTTTTTATGGGCTGCAATTGCCGGAAATTATATAATAATGTATCACTTTTAGTGCTTTAATGCCTCACCCAATCTGTATGAAAACATGAAGTGTTTGTTACCTCATTTTATAGCCTTTTAATAATTAAAAATTTTTTTTTATTATCTTCTTCTTGATAACAGATGGATTCACGGGGTTCGTCGTCTGGCACACCTTCGCTATCGTCGAATTCCTTTATATCGGCCATGTCGTCACAAGAAGATGTAGCTCTAGTTAATTTGCATCAACAAGTGAATAGACCTATCATAGATTCACCCCTTTTAATGGCCAGTTATTTAAATCATTTGTCACAAGTGAAATGCTTCAACTGGACAATGTGCTCATTTCCGGCCGGCTTAGATGTTTTCTCAACACCTTTATTTCAGGAGAATGAAGACGGCGGCTTAACTTATATAGGCAGTAAAATGTTACCGCATTTCGATTTATACTCATCTTGGCGGGAAATTAAAGTGGTTCCACGTTATGAGAACGCTACTGGTAGCAATAGTTCGGCTACTTTTATGGGGGGTCCCAAGTCGCATCCATGGGATCCTAGCGTTCTGTTAAAGGAAGAGGAAAGCGATAAATCGACAAACGGTTTCGATGATGGTGAATTTATGAGTTTGCAGGCTGAAGGTGCTGCCTGCACTTCGGTGGTTGCGAGGCTTAAAGGACAAGTGAACGTTTTTCTAACCCCTTTATTGCTAGAAGGATTGCAAAGGTAAGCGTGACTGTAGTGATTGTAAAAAGAAAATCAACGATTTATTGAGATATATTTTGTACACTTCTTTCTTTTTATATATGTTTTGTCTCAATTTCTCTTAACTCGCACATGATCTTTTTTTATATCATTTTCTTCATGATTGTTCTGCTCCAAATCGCGGGGAAACGAAAAGTCTAATTGTTTTATATATTCCTCATCGACTGGCACCTGAAGAGTAGCATATTAAATTAAATGTTAATCTTCGGATCTCTTCTTTCACTTACCTGAATGTCATGATCATCCCTTTTTATCCTTTGAATGTCTGTCGTTAGATCAATATCTAATTGTTCTTGTGGCATATTAAGAAAATTTTGTTCAAAACCTTGCGGCTGATCATAGATGCTATCGTCTACGTCGAATACATCTCCCGCATAATCATGATTATTGGAATTTAAACCGTATAGACTCGGATCTCGATTATTACTTTGCAAAAAGCTGCAAGACAAAGTAAACAATAATGAAAGACAATGAAAGAAGTTTTATTAACTTCACTCTTACTCTTCATAATTGTAATCAATTTTATTGCTGGAATCGATTAATTCACTCAAGGCATTTAAATCAGGCAATGACAAGTCATTTAAAGCCATTTCAATTTCCGCATCGGTGAGATCCTTAGTTAAATCTAATGATTCAACATCGCGTTGTTTTTTCTGCAGATAATAAATAAAATTTTACTCGAAACTTGTCTTCTTATCCTAACACGCGTTCAAAATATTTTTGACTTACCAAAGCCCTAGAAGACGCCTCTTGGGTTAAACAAATAAATGAAAAAAATAAAAAAATCGCAAATAGAATCAATTTTCGTTGCTTTGACATATCTCTGCATTTCATATTTTTTGTCGTTTATTGAATTTTTCCAAATTGTCATTTTTCTCATATTTCATATGTGTTTCTGTTTTTTTTTTTTTACAGAATGGTTGAAGCTGCCATACCGACTTTTATTTCAATGCATCTGCTGACTGTGGTTAATTATATACATTCATCCTGTATAGCTAAAGTGAAAAATGATAATATTCTCAAACGTGATCAGAGTTTAAGTTATTGGTCTCAAGTGCACTCAAATTCAAAGCGATCAACAACCGAAAGAAATCTTTTAGGACCGGGAGATTCTTTTCTTAGCGACGTGTACGAGGAAAGTATATCAACACGTACACAAGGATTAGTGGTATTGCCGAAGGTAAGCATTACCATGCTTCAATCTTCAATAATCGAAGAAGTAATTTCAGTGGCAGCATTGGATAATGTGCAAGTGAGTACAGAAGAGAAGAGAAATGAATCTGTGTTCAAGATGTTGTTTTAACTTTTAATTTATAATCGCCTCTTTGCGTTTAGGATCTTAGTTGCGTATCCTTACTCACTTTTTACATTGAAGGTGTCTCAACTAAATTTCATTTGGGAAAAACTACAAGAGCTTCCATGCATAATGTTTATATTCAACAGACTGTGCAATCTGGTAATAGTCATAAAAAAGGAGGCATTATGAGAGGGACACGTGCTCTTTTGGCTCATCTCTCGTCTCAATCGCGTCCTGATAATGTCCAAGGCGAGCCTATTTTAATAGAGACTTCAGAGAAGCAATTAGAAGAACTTGTTATAACTTTGGATGTTGGTAGAGCTCATGTCCAATTGAGGCGTTTGAAAACGGAAAGCACAACCGGACAAGAGTCGCCTTTGATAGTGACCGCCATTCCTGAACATAAGAGCAAAGTTTTATTTGAATGCCTAAAAATGACTGACAATACCGGCGTAGACAGTATTGGTTATATTATGTTTGAGTGCGGTCTGGAAGGTGTGGGAGTCAAGATAGTAAAACGATCCCATTTTGAAAAATCGGAAAACTCGAAAGAAGAATTAGCTGAAATGGCCGAAGAAGCAAATGGCGGCGTAGCCAGAACTCTGAATGAGTTCGTAGAGAGTTCGGTATCGAACACAACAGTAGCTGTGAATAATCCAGCTGTAGACGTTTCCGCCACGTCACGTGCTGAGGCTGCTTGGCGTTTATTGACAAAGAAGCCTCCCACTCCAAAAACCCCGAAAGAGAAATTTCAAACCGCCTTGGAAAACATCATTGTAATTGATCGTAACGACGTTGGCACTGGAGTGAATGAAACTCGCAAGAACGCCGTTAAATCTACGGAAGAAGATTTGGAGAAAGGCAAGCCGAAGAAGCCCGAAAGTTTTGACAAAGTAGCAAATAAGGAAACGGATAAGACTTCCTCTTGTGTCATTGAGTTGAAATCGATGTGGTTCAATTTTGCCGCCCCACCCTGTGTGCCCATAACAAGAAGGATTGATTTAACCCGTTTAGATTGGAATTTATTGAGTACAGCTTCGCCCGCTATAACGGCTTGGATGAATCCAAGTAATCATTTGGCTATAAAAATTGTAGCTTTACTTAAATCTTTACACTCCCGCAATACGGCCGTGGCCGCTTGCCTAATGGCCGATGCATTGGAAAATGAAAAGATTCAAAGGAATCCAAAAATTAGAAAAGTATTTAATTTTGTTAACAAATCGAAAAAATATTTTTATTTTCCTTAAAATTTAAGAGTCGCTATGCCAACAACTACACTTTACTATCAAAAACTCTACAAGAGGATCCTAGCTGTCAGCTATGTTTCATAATGCAGAAGCTGGTATTGGATGAGGGCGTAGAAAAGGTTGAGAGAATATTCAAACATGGCGATATCCCACATCTGAATACTTTAAGACAGGTAGAATTATCAAGTTGCGGATAAGGCATAGAAAAAAATCCTTTTTCTTCTGCATTTAAAGGGTATTATCGTACTGAGTCGACAGTGGAAAAACACTTTATATAATCCTATTCTTTTCGAGCATCAATACAAGAATAAGCTGGCACGTCCGATCAATGTCACCTTTTCATTCCCTCAAAACGAAGAAGAGTGTGACGATGCTGAATGTGAAGGTGATGCTGATTTAGGTGCATATGCCGGAGTTGGAGATAATCCTGAAGAGAGTGAGAATGCTTTATTACTTGGGCAAACACAGCATCATCGAACTCATATTGGTATTCTTTTGATTAACGCTTTTTTGAACAGAAAAAAAATTTTTCTTTTTCCTTTTAAAACCTTTTAAAAACCTCCCTATGCAACTGCCCTGCCCTGATCAGCCCTTACCGCACTTTGTTGTAAATTCAGTTTTGTCTATTTTGCTGTATAGAATTAATTTTTTTTTATTTACTTTTGCTTTTAAAAATTTTGTTCTAGCGAATGTTTGCGAAGACGCATGCAAGTGTGGAGGAAAGAGATTTTTTTCTTTGTTCAAAATTTATTTCCATATTTTCTTTGTAATTTAACAAATGTTTGCCACTTTGTTTTTTTTCTTTTCTATGTGTGTGTGTCTATTCTTTATAGTCTATGTTAAAGGGGTATTATTTTTGTTCTTGGTTTTGCACTTTTTCCATTTTTTTAACCGAAAAAAGGATTAAAATTTTTTTAAATATTTTTGGAAGATTTTTTCGATATTAAAAAAAAATATATAATTTGATCATTTTTGAAAAGGAAAAAAAAAAAAACGTCAAAACAATGCGAAACGGATTTGCTTTTTCATGCATATATTTGAGAGAGTTATTAAATTCCTTTTCAAATTTAATATTCATAATGTGGGTTTATTGCCTATCGTAAGACGAATATATATTTTCAATGAACGTAAGTCTACGTTGCATGCGTGTCTGAGACTTGGTGAAAGGAGCAGAGAGAATTCAGATAGTTTGACATACAAAATTATTATTATATGCAGAGAGAGTTCGAATACTTTAGCGTACAAAATTATACACAGAGAGAGAGTTCGGATAGTTTGAGTATAAACTTGTACACGGAATTCTCTTTTTACACGATAGATACATTTCCAAAAAATTCTTCTAGGAATAGATTTTGATTAAATTCAAAAATAGTGAATTGGTTCCAGATCGACGAAAGTAACTGAAAAGTAAAATAGACAATATTAAGAATTTCTTGTTAGAGTTAATTTAAGAATTTATTACGTGCCTACACATTTTTAAGTCATTAAATATATTAGACAAAATAAATTATACTTGGAAAAACCAAACGGTGTGCATAAATCGAGGAATCCCACTCGTATATGCATTTAATCGACATAATCTAATTAAATCGGGAAAAATATAATGTGTAGCTACAACGTATATTTATTTGTGAGGAGTGATCATGAAAAATTCATAGAAACATCAAGAAGAAAAAAAAAATGAATAAAAAAATTTCATAAAAAAATTCATAGAATATTGGAAGTTGTGTTAAAAGAAAACATTTCGTCCAAAAAGAATTTTTTTTTCTTTTTAACTTGCGTTAAATCAAATTTCATGTTAAAAAGAATTTGTGTACGAACAGCTAAAGTTTGAACTTTCTTTTAAATATATATATATGGTTTTTGGTGTATTATTAAAAAAAATAATGAATGAATGACTAGGTTAGGCGAAGTAGTGCAGCATATGTAATAATAATGTGTATCGGCCTTGCCCGACTAAAGCATTCTTATATGTTTTAGTTTTGGAAAAACCGATTAAAAATCAGCCGTAGAATCAAAAAGTTTTACACTATCGAAGAAATCCTGTACAATGTTTATCGGTAAAACTTATTCTGAAGGTGTATTTAAATTTTCAAAGCAATAGGAAGGGAATTGAAGCGGCCCATAATAGGATAAGATCAAAAAATATGGATGCGAGTAACCCTAATACAGCTACGTAATTAGCTTCAAAATTTTTAAATGAGTTTGCCCCATTCACGATCATCTTTTTATATCACCCTGTTGTGGGATAAACGCTAAAGAAAATCATAAAGCGATATTACCCCTTAGACCCAATTTTTATTTAATTCACTTATGTTTTTTGCTCTTTTCTCCTACATTTTTTTTGAGTTATTTCTTTTTTTTTGTTGTCTTCTAGAAATGTTTTGTCTTGTTTTATGTGTTTTACGTTTGTTCGTGGCATTTTTACGTACGTGTGTTGGTGTACTTTTCTGTCTTTTTACAACTTTTTATATAATATATCTTAAAAAGTTTTATGCTTATGCGGCTTATGTAAGGCCTTGAAGCTCTATGAGTTGCATTATTTTAAAGCAATTGAAATTTTTTTTTTTTTTTTTGTTTTTTTAACAAATAATGAAATTTGAAATATTTACCGAGTTTAGGAAAGCAATTCTTGTGAACACATTGCCATACTTTTCATACATTTTCAGCAAAAAATTTTTTAAAATGCAAATTTCAATATTTGTAAAAATGTTTTCTAAAACTTTGTATTTTACTATAATTGCAACAAAATCCTGGTAATGTATTTATATATATTTAAGAAAAAAAAAAAATTGTTGTTATAAATGTTTTTGTTACAAGAATAATTGTTAATATAACTATATATACATATCGGTAATTAATATTTATGGCACCAAATTATTTTATGTTGAATTGGGCCTATATATATATATTTATGTATATATATATATTTGTGTTTTTTTTATTTTTTATTTTTTTTGTAAAAAAGAATTAAAGTAAAAAAGACATTAAAAATTTTATTCTTCAAACATAGACACAAATCAATTTGGTTTGGATTTTACTACAGATGGTGTTCTTCACGTCGCCAGCTCCCAACGGTCCACATCAACTTCACCGAATATGCATTCGCAACGAAGAGGGTAAATAAAATGATTTTGTTTTATGGTTGTACGTATGTATTAACACTGTATGTATTCAGAAAAACCTTGAGCAAAACATCGAACTTCTCTTATGGCAATTCTACTCGTTCTAGCATACAAATGTTGCCGATAATATCTGGTTTGGTGGAAAAACAAGGACCGGAAATAGGTATAAAGGCCATTCTTTTTTTTGCTTCCCATACTCTTGATATTTTTATTATTGATTTCTTCTCATTTTTATAGAATATGGTGCGCTACAAGAAGGTTCTTTGAGTTCGACTAATTCAGTTAACAAATTTTGGTTGGGTTCCGATAATCAGAAAGAAGATTTGTACTTTTGGATGGCTAAGCAACAGGAGAGTAAGAAAAAGGAGAGCATATCAGAAAAAGAAATCATACGACCTACACCCATTAGTAAAGTGTCGGGACAAGCTCAACTACGGCATGGTATCATGCAAGACTCCATTAAGCTTTTAGATGCGCATTTGATTTTCGAGCCTTTGCTCACTTGCTTGGGAGTGATGCCTCAGCAAATGATCAACAAGTATTCAAATACTGGTATGTGTTTTAGGTTTTAGATATATAAACTCCATTATAAGTTTAATTCATCGTTTAGATATTTCGTCCTTGGAGAACTTCGGTACCAATTTATCATTAATTGGAACATTTGACTCGATACGTGTTGATATTGTTGTGTCAGAGGCTGGAGATAAAAAGTGTAAGGCCACTAAATTGCCTAATAAGAAGTCAAACGGTCGTCCTTCCATCATGATGGATACTCCACTGTTTCTATGTGAACGTGTGGGAATTGAATTAGAAGTGGTCAAAATGTCTGACGGCATGGTAGACCAGGCAAGGCAAAATGTCATTTATATGTCACGTCGTCAATTGAAAAAACATACCAGCACTGTTATTAACTTCAGTTTGAATATTCGATTTATATCGCAACAGGTGAGGATAGCATATTCGCTGCCAAGTATCCAATTCTATTTGCCTTAAAAATTAATTTTTAATTCGGCTTAAGGTTAATATGCCTTTATTGCGATTGTTGCATCAAATCACTAATATGTATCAAAACGTTAAAGACGCTCAAAATGAATTCCACGAACAGCCGGACATTAGTAAAAAATCAAATGCGAAGGACGAATACAGTTTGGGTAAGTTAGCAAAGTTTTCATAATTTCGGTTTCTTTTGTACAACAATGTTTATATTGAATTTACTTATAAGCCTCTGAGCCGAACGATATACCATTTGGTTCGGTTTCTGATCGATTTACTCACAATGAAAATTCGTCGGATGAACGATATGATAAATTCAATGAAATGATAAGCATGTCATGCCATACGGGCAATAAAGTAAGGTCTGCTGTGGGTCCCCTGATCCAACGTACGCCTTCTCCGAATGCCAAAAACAGACCGCAATCGTTCGCTCAAAAGTTACGCTCCACGGGTAAATCAGTTAAGGGAAAATTAGGTAAAATGTCCTATACACACACACACACACACACACGCATGCTTCTTGAAATTATTCTTTGATAACACTACTTATAGGATACACCAATCTCAACGAATCGAGCTCTTCACCTTTAAAAGATAGTCCAACGACTTCTGTTAGCGAACAACATTTGTTTAAATTATCTTTGGAATCGAAAATTTCATTAAACAATATTTGCGCTACTAGTGTTAGTGGAGATTATAACACGATTACTAAGAACGGTTTTAATGGCTTAATACCACCGCTTTTGGAGACACCAAATTGTTGGAAAACTATTTACCATTTGTTAGAACTGTATGGCACAATGCCTGAAACTAAAACGGTACAGCAGAGAGTGTCGATGACTAATGAAAAGAAACCCTTTATGTATACAAGAGAGGATGGACGCAATGATGACGACGATTTAGCTAGTGCTCCGACACCATTGCCACAGCATCGTGAATTATTTGGTTAGTAATTGTTGAAGCTTTCCTTCGAGAGAACCGACCCTATTGAAGTCTATTTTTAAGCAGACAATATTTCTCAAGAAAAGACCCGATTAGTCGTTTTCGGAGTGGCCAAAATTCACAAGACTCGCCTGTTAGCTACATTAAGTGGTTTGAAATTGGAAGCGGAAATCACTACTTTAAATGGTTCGGCTACATGGATTAAAAGGGCACGACCCGCTTCAGTAGAGTTCTCGCTGACAGGACAAGTGGGCAGAGCTATGATTGTGTTGCTTGAAGGTGTCGCACCTAACCAGCAGTAAGTTGTTCAAAAAAAAAAAAGAATTTGAAAAGAGCAAATCAGAAACTTTGTCTTTATGACTAGGACCGTGGTGAAAGTGACGGTGGGCAAAAGCCAAACTCTTTATTCCAGCTTAACGAAGAGAGGGCGAGACAAAAATAGTGGTCTTCTAACTATCGGACCCGTTAATATAGAAATTCCTCAACATCCAGTGGCATTGCATGGTATGATGACTCGTTCTTCGAAGCAGCTGTCGTCAACTCTCCAAGAGTTAAGGGTTGGTCGTAATTCTGGGCGTACCACGACTCGGTCTCACACTCAAGAAGAACCAGAATCGCCCTTTCATGCTCGCAACTCTGGATCTGGTATTGAGACGAAAGAGAAACCTCAACAAAAAAGTCGCAAATTTAATATTCAAACTCGAGTTCAGTCGCAACAGAATGGCTTGTTGCAGCCTTTGGTTATGCAGTTTAATGTATTATTGCAGAGTTTATCTATAAATGCAGCTTTGTTGCCTTCGCTACAGGCTCAATACCGAATGAATCAAGTGAGTTCAAAAGGTGTGACTGGAAATCGTGCAAAATTTGTCATCGATCTCCCAACTCACACATTAAGCTTCAATACTAAAATTCAGGTAAGGGTGAGTTATCAAGTGTTCGTTAATGTTCCTGATAAAAAAAAGTTATTGAGAATTCTTTTGAATTTAGAACGAAATGAATTTACCGTCAGAAGCCTGTATCGCTCTACCCATGGTGCATGTTAGTGCCGAATACATACCGGAACATAAACAAGAGGTATGAGCTCATAATATTTTTAAAACGAAATATCTTATCTGCTTTACCTTTTTGCAGGAAATTGAACGAGTTGAAGGTATTGTTTTACGGCAAGGTGGTTATGTAAATGCTTCGGCAGAAATTGGGGAATTCGAACGCTGCCTTACTACTGATTTACTCAATCATTTGGTTTTCGTGCAAAAGGTATTTATGCGTGAAATAAATGAAGTTTTACAGAAGGTATATGGAGGGGAGAAACCTGTACCTTTATGGTCGGAGGACAGTGATAGTGGCAGTGTTCAGGAGTCGAGTCTCAAACGTATACTATTCTGGATAAATGTCTCCATGAAACGTATACAGTTGACGGCCACAACTCCTTGCAACTCTGCTGTTCGCTTTGAAACTGGCACCTTAGAACTGCACCTTTCGAACCGCGTTAAAAATCTTGGCGAGGGCAATGATCGCAAGCTATTCGGAAAGGCGCACATTGACTTCAACCTCTCGTTGGGCCAATTGATACGTAATGTGATATTCGATGAAGCCGAACCGGAATTCCAACAATATGCGTTCTTTCATACAACTATCGGTTTACGTAATGCATTCCAAGATGAGTTGCTTAACGAAGATAAAGAGTTAATATTACTGACTTTGAAACGTCCTTTGGTATACATTCAACCGATAGCTGTTGATAAGGCCATATTAGTATGGTTGAATTATAAAAACGCCTACGAGTATTGGGCGGAAAAGAGAGCTAATCTCAGCTGTGGCAATAATCATCAAACACAGCAGGTTGGGAGTTGCTTTATTTAAGCAAAGTTTATTTTTTTTTTTAACACCTTTTTTTTATAAGGTGTTTGATCGAGTAGCCTTTGGCCAGTTAAGCAATATAGCCGGTTCAAATTTATCAACCCTGTTCTTGCAGTTAACTGTTGAGGATATGGGTATTTGCTTGCCGTTGAATCACGTGGCTAATGTAAGATTTTTAAAATAATTTTTAATATTTTCGTAAATTCGTCTTTTTTTCCAGTCTTGGGGTTCTCGTTCCTATCAAGATTTTGAACCCAAGGGCGCAGTAGTGATAACCTTGGAAAATACAATTATCTCAGCATGTAATTCCGGCTCATTGGTATCTAAAGGAAAATTTCAGGGATTATGCTTACGATTTGCCGATGACTTTGAAACTACTTTGGATGATTGGAAGCCCAATCCCAATGAATCCATTATGAATGTTTGTGTGGTTTCCGAGGGAACCTATGAAGTTTGTTCTCGCACCACCGCTGCCAAAAAGATGGAGAATGCTAAGTGGTTATTAAACGTCAAATGGCAAATGGAGGGCGTTGATATACACTTAGATATCAATATTGGTAAACAATTGTCTTCATTAGGTCACACTTTAACTATGCTTACTGGTTTTGAAGAAGAAGATACGAACATAGAATCGCCTGACAGCGATGAGGGAGATCAAAGCAGTCGCGATTCATATATGCATAAAAGAAAATTTGAAAACTTACCTGCGTTTGTGTTTGACCCTACAATCGATCCCAAAAAGCGTTCTTTTATGATGGAAAAAGAAATGGCTGAACAATTGAAGATTATTAATGACTTGAGAACGCTTGGAGCCTCTCATAAGACCGTAGGTCTAGAAGAAAAAAGATTACAGGAATTACAAGCCATATGTTTTAAATATTTTCGACGTGACATGATCCAAAAATGGAAGCGTCCTTCCATGAGAAGAGGCATAAAGTCCTCAAACAGATCGTATTCATTTGTAGGCTCACAGAGAGAACATATAGATGATGGCATGGCCACGTATTCGGGCCGTCGCTTGGATCCTATAGCTTCGAATGATGAAATCTCAAGCTTGCAAAGTACGCCGGCTTCGGGTCATTCGAGAAGCGCTTCGTTGAGAACCTGTCCTACTAACCGTGTCACCTTCTCTGAGTCGATGCGGCAGAGTTCTTTGCCGAATGCCGACAGCGATGACGAACGACGTAGCAACGATTCTGAGTGGCGTCCCCAAGATGGAGTAGGCGAATCACCTCCTAGTGAAATAGATATTGATGGAACATCGGTAGAGATGCGACGAAAACATCAGTATCAGCAGAAGCCGCAAGAACCCAACATCGATTTCGAATTGGATATTAAAGTTTTAGTGAATTCAGGAAAGTGTGTCTTGCACACTAAGGAATCTGCAGATGATCGCTATCTCGTTAGTGGACCCACCACGGTAAAAACTCACAAGCGAGAGCGTAGCGTTGGTTGCGACTGGGGTAGTCCCACACCATCGCGTCGTCACAGGGACAAAAGTAAACTACGTTATAATCCTTCAAATCTTGCCATGTTATCGGATTTAACCATGTTTTATATACCGGGTTTGGACGTTAAACTTCACTATCAATCGCGAACGGTCGATTTGCCGATAACAGAGAGTATTAGAATTATTAGTGCGGAAAGTCATCAATCTATGACGTCCTCCGGCCTTAATCGACGTTCAAGTAGCAAGCGCGCTTCGCTTTTCGCTTGGATGACATTGCAATCAATACCAGAGGAAACTATTATTTCTCCACATATTTTGGAATTCCTGGAGCAAACTCTGGAACCTATACCCACCAAAGCGGACAGTAGTGAATCGCAGACACCGTCACCTAACGCGGTGAATTTGGACATATTACCAGCAAATTACGTTACATACGCTTCTTTTCCTGTAGACGTTATTGTTTATTTCCATATGCAGCCTTCGACATTCAGATTTTCTTGCTTGCCAGTTTCACGCGTCGAATGTATGCTGCAGTTACCCAGTCTAGATATAGTATTCAGCTCTAAAAGATCAGCCGACGAAGAACAACAACCAGTGATGGGAGCACATACATCTGATTCGACACACATCCCCCCAATGACTGAAAAGGATAAAACTCCGCACGGTGGTTTAAGCGTTACTGGTTGTCTTGCTGATTTTAATGTTTACATATTTCATCCATACGGTGGTAAGAAAACGAACATAAAGGAAGCTCAATTTTCCCCGTTAACGGATAATGAGCGTAAGGATTCTTTAAGCATAAATGTGGAATTTGTGAAATTTCATTTGACCCGATGTCGGAAAGTCTACATAGAGCCCTCGCCCCTTTCTAAAAAACAAATGGATCAGTCGAGAGCTGTTATACGTTTTTCAACTATAGTAGATATAGGTAGCGCTTCGTTTAAATATGATATGCGCAGACTTACCGAAATCTTGGCTTTTCCCAAGGCATGGTATCGTCGAAGAATTGTAAGACGTTTGTTCTTGGGAGATTTAAGTGTGCAACAATCAACTAACGAGAATGAATCCTCTTCGGGAACACCTTCCACACCAAAGAACGCCTATAAGGGGCACTCTAAAACACCAGAGGCGAGCAAGTCTCCGACAGAAGCCTTTTACATGAAAGATAATTTAAAATTAGATTTCGAAGGTCAGCCGACTTCAACGCAACAAATGATTTCTCATGGCCAACCGATAGGGGCAGCTCGTAAATTAAAAACGTTAGGTAAATCATCAAGTGGCGATTCTTCCAGTACTCCACCATCGGAGAAGAATCAAATTACCGCTTGGGAAACGCTGGTATTGTTCGCAGTTAACTTTACTAAATTGAACGTGCAAATGAATATGGGTAACGTGATGGGCAACGTGGTATGGTTGACTAAAGATTTCCAATCAGATGGACGATTGTCAATAGGAAGCACAGGCTATAAAAATATGTTTGTTGGTATTTATTTGGGTGGTTCCTCATTGGATGCTAAGGGAGGTATAGTAGGTGGTAGTTTTGAAGTAAATAAAATCAATACGCGTTTTCACATAAAAGAGGAGTCCGGCATTGAACCATATCATACTATGGGTTTAAGCTTTATGGCTTTAGAATTAAGATTGGATTATATGGGAACTTCGGTGCTTATGACAAGAATTAGTTCATTTTCGGCGGCCATGAAAGATGAATGGAAAACGTCGTTGCTCAAGGGCGAGAACGGGATAGGAAATCATTACTATAGTGATGGGTCGACCAAAGCCATAATATTTATTCATGGAGATTTGTCATGGGATCAGGTAAGAATACTAGTTTAAGAATATTTAACACACCTCAATTGAGTTTGTGCATTAAGGAACTTGATGGTTGTTCTGTATTTTCAGTTGCAAATCATGATTTCCAAGTCCACTACAGCAGATTTGTTAAAAATGTATTATAAACTTGAAGAATTCTTTACCCAACAATTCAAATCTTCAAAACGAGTTTTCTCCAGCTTAGAACCACGGTTGCATGAACGTAATACGAGCATGAAACGTCGACAACACATGAAAAAAAAATCAACTGCAGGTGAGTTGCCCACAGTGGAGACCACCAGTACTGATGCCAAACATCATCGTCATTGGCAGAAACCTTTGGAATTGGTGGCGGGTTTGGTTGTACCATCTTTGGTTACACGCTTGCCAAGACATGGCAATGTCTTGGGCGGTTCAGTTGAATTGCATGGCAATAATATATCGCTGGCTTGCTTCCATGGCATTAACTTCAAGTCGAAATCGTGGGCGTTGTTTAGTTTAAAGTCTCCTTCTATAAATTTTACTACTGAAGCACGTCAGGACCATGATAGTCGAGAGGTAATGGTTACTCAGACCTTAACTTCATGCCTAGGGCAAACAACCGAAGTGCAGCAGCAGCAAAATCACTCCATGGCTATTGTCAGCCGCATAACTCGTAACATAGTCTTTCCACCGCAATTCAAGACATTAAATGAATGGTTTCACTATGCCTTTGCTAATAGTGAAATTGATGGTGAGTAAAAAAAGAAAAAAAAGAAACGGTTAAAAAATAAATTTTAAAAAATTTTTTCTTCTTTCGGTATAGCGGTCGATCGATTTCCTATTTTGGAATGTGATCGTGAAATTGCATCGAATTCTATAGAGAGAGCACGATCAGCGGCTTCTAACACTAATAACTTGGCTAAATCGCAAGATCGTGAAGTGATTTTTGCTTTGCCAAGTTTGCATTTGCATTTTAAAACTGAACATACGCAAGGTTCTACGACACCGCAGCGTCAGGATTCCAAGCCCGAGGTTATCTGCAGCTTTACTACAGAATTTGATGATCATATTTTTGTGACTGTAGATGCGGATGCCTTCTTCTTTTTACACGATCTAATAACCTCTTATGTAAAGGAAAAGGAGAAAGTGGTAAATTATTTACAAAAAGTAAGCAGAGAAGAAAAAAAATGCTTTCATTTAATAATGTTTGCAGATTGGTGCTCAGTCAACTAGAGCTGCTTCACCCAATTTGTCCCAGAAACATCAGCTGAAGCCTTTCATTAGTGAAGAAATTTCCAAGGAAACTATACAACAACAACCAACAGTTAGTACGACTAGCAGCACTCTGACTACTAATAAGCCAACAACATCGGACGTCAGCAATAATATGACAACAGCAGCGGGACAACAATTGACAGCCAGTGCTCAATGTTTGAGCAGCGAGACTAAAGAGGCCATAGTTACCAAATCAAATACGAATATTAATATAGCAGCTGCGACGAATTTAGGTGGTAAAGAATCTTTGCCTTCAGCTTCAACGAAAGCTGGAGAAAATGCAGCATCTGGCTGCATTGACCTGGAGTCATTTGTTAGAGATTGGCGTCACTTTGAATGTCAGACTTGGCATTTGGAACCCACTGTTCGTATATTGTATTGGGCGGGCAAATCCATAGAACCCTACGGTATTGATTATATACTAAATAAGTTAGGCTTTAGCCATGCTCGCACCACCATACCAAAGTGGCTGCAGCGTGGCTTTATGGATCCATTAGATAAGGTGCAAGCATTAATGATGCTGCAACTATTAGCTATGATAAGGGAGAATAAACAAGATGCAAATATAAGACCATAGGTTTTAAATTAAATATTAAACGATACACGATTAATAGAATTTTCAAAATTTACGCTTTTAGTAGTAGTGTTTACGCCCAAAAGTTATTAGTAGAATAGCAATGCGAAGACGGTATTTTAATGATGTGCTTGTAACGTATTATATACGCAATATATTATTGAGAAAGATTATTTGTATTATATTATTTAAAATGAAATTTCAAGCAAATTAAGCGGTGAGAAAACAAAACACTTTTTAAAAGTATTTTTTCAATCAAATATTTTGTATTATAATTTTTTGTTTTATTTTGTTTTAGTTCCAAAATGTAATGTTTAAGATTGCGATTGCTTTGGGATATTCATCTCATTGTTGTTATGAATATTGTTGCTCATTTACATTATCTTTGCTAATTTAGAAAGCATTAAGAAAACCATAATAATTATGTCGCATTTAATCTAAATAAAATTAATCGATAAATGTCTATAAATTGTGGACTGATTTCTTTTTAGTTAGTTAGTTAAGTACATTTTATTCAAACGTAATCAGAGTTTGCGAGAGTCAACGAAACAAACTTAAGAAATAAAAGAAAAAGAAAGTGGAAAATGGAAGATGGCTTTGGATTTTAAATATACTTAAGCGTAGTTAGCTGCTGCAGAAAATTTTTTTTCTTTGTTTCCATTTCAGAATTATTGTAAGCGAGTAATGTTGTTTTCTTTATCAAAGCTGAACTATCTTTCATGGAAAATTGGAAGCAACAAAAAGAAGGAAATGCGAAAGAAGTTATTTATATTCAGCTACTCTCGAACTCTCTGATAGATATCGTCCACGTGCACTTGGATATATTTCTGCGATATATACACAGTTGCAAGATGAACAAAATTGATCCAGTCAAGCTTCGTCGCACACGTAGGATACATTTGGGATAACAGTCTTAAAAGAATTGCAGTAGTAAGTCTTTGATCAAACTAAAAACAGTTTCTTACATTTGGGCACATGTCTGCAAGAGGCAGAAGAAGTTGAGATAAACCCAACTTTTATTATACTGACTGATTTGAAATCATTTCTAGAATCAGAATCACATTCTGAATTAATTTCGGCTTGTCTGTCCGCCTGTTCGCGTGTCAGTTTTGTTTTCCTGTGTACAGCCTATACGTCGCAATTTTTGAGATAAACTGACGAAATTTTGGGACACTGACGTGTTTTTTGGCCCAAGGACGTAGGCTATTTAAAAAAAGTTCGCATTGGATTACTTTTCCAACGACTTTTCATTCCATGGATAACTATAGGGTAGTGTATGGCATGACATGGTATTTAATGATGGGTCGTGTCCCACTTTAATATTTTTACTAGTTACCTGCAATTTTCCGTCGAAATATCTTTGGTTATAATTCATTCACTGAAGGAAACACCATTGCTAGCATATCATAAGTTTCTTAGTTTGCATTTGATTTACGCGTGCGATTTTAATGTTTCTAACAGGTAGGACGCTGCGGACGATATCATATTTATTTACCATGTCCATATGATAATTAAACGAATCCAGTTGTTGCTTAATCAGAAAACTCGAATTGATTGATTGTGAATCGTCACAGATGCAAAATTGAAGATAGGAAGGTGAAATTCGGCCTAAGCATTCCTTGATCGATTAAGAATACGCGATTAAAAAATGAGCCCAACCTGCTCATAGACATGCCAACAGTACAGAGCAAAACAAAATAACTTTGGAAAGAAAGCACCAAAAATCTTTTCATATTTTCTTCTATATAAGAGTAGACATGTATTTCCTGCACTATATCATTAGACAATCGATATACAACATCTGAAGGTATCGATTTTCTTATGCTAACTTTTTAAAATCAAAAACCAGTCATATTGGCGGGTGCCGTAGATCTAGTGCTCTGTTTTCTTTCGTCGGCTATTCGTAAAATAAAGTGATGGTCGGAAAGAAGCGAGGAAAGAGAATAACATAGGGAAGCAGCTTAACGGCCTATAACTGCGATCAAAATAAACACGATCAAATTGACATTTGTAGCCGCAAAACACATACGCGCATATTTGGTAGTTCCGTTCCTTATCCACTCAGTTACTAAATCCAAACTAAAATCGAATGGAAATTCAATTGAAACTGAATTACAAATAAGTAATAATAGTTTAAATAGAGGAGCGCATTCGATCGGGCGGGGCGAACATGAAAATTATATTACACGTACAGCATAGAACACTTATCCCTGCATATTACACAATATGTTACGATCGTCCAAATTGATAATATTTGCTGTAATTGTTGGTCCTTTTAAAATGAAATTACAACAATCAGCAGTAATTGAGATAATTTGATATACGTAAGTAATGCTGCATTTTCCAATACATCGTATAGTTATCTATTTCTTGATATTAATCATACGAGGTGTGTTCAACAAAAAAAAAAAAAAGTGAAATGTTATTTTTCTTGAAATATTTTATATTTATTCATCAAAAGCTATTTTGTCTCCCCTTAAATATAATCCACTTGCGTCTGCGCTTTTTGCACTCCTCGAAGCATTTCTGATATGCGGTTGTTAGTATGGCCTTGAATTTTTCCAGTGATTCGGTCTTTAGCTTTTTAATCATGGCAAAAGTGCGTCCTTTCACGGGTCTCCTCCGTTTTGGAAACAGAAAAAAGTCGCAGAAGTTCAAGTTCAGCGAACACGTTGTCGTCTGGGGTACCCGTTGTCAAAAAACATCTTCTCGGGCTTCTGCGAAGAATCTCCAAGCACATCAGCAACTTTATATCTGTCAAAAACAAACGAAAAATGAAAAATTGTTGATAATGTCAATATATGTTTGGTACATGTGGAATATGGCCAAAAAAAAATAAAAAAAATTTGAAAATCGAATGCATGTAGCCCACGAAAGAGTCACATTTTTGTTGTTTGAGCACAACTCGTATATGGTAATCCACCAAGAACTTGGGAAAACTGTAGCCTAATGTCAGTGTTTGTTGAGATTGAAAAGTTGAAAAACGCCACGCCCATAGTTAAGAACCAACTTTAAGATGACAGTCACTTTTTTTTTCATACGATACGCGAGCACAATACTGTCTTATTACAAGTACAATCCTACATCAGAATGTAATAAGTAATAAGTACAAACAAACAAACAAACGTATTTAAGAGACAAACGTTTAAAGGCGAAAGCGAATGGAGGTGAAATATCGCATTTACTTAAGTGCATAAAATGAAAAAAAAATGGAAACTTAAAAATTCATTCAACCGAACTGACAATTAGTTTTTAACCTCTATTAACTTTGGTGTAATAAAGACGAAAGTAAATGTATTCGTTGTTTGCTTTCGGATAATATTATTTTCTGCTGTCGTTGTTGCAGTTACTCATTGTTTACATAATATAATGAAGATGACGAGAATGCTGATGATGGGCGAGAATACTATGACATATATGGTGAGTGTGGTTGGCTGTGAAATACTTGAACTCTTTCCTTAAGCTGAATTCATAAATTTTCTGGAATTTTTTTTTTTGTCGCTTTTTCTGTTTTTCTTAAGCAAGTTATTGCTCAGCAAAGAGTTTTACATATTGCAGCCGAGTTGCGAATATTCCTTTTTACTCGATTTTGTCCTTGTTTTCTTTTGCATTTTTAAGTGATATAGCTGAATAAATTTGAAGTTCTCTTTAGAGTGCGTGGCGAATAATAAGGACCGAAAAAGGCCACATGAAAACTCATCATTATAGATGAAATCATAAAAAATATAATGAAAGAGCTATGTTCGACTTAAGGCGAATTTCGAACGAGCGCCAGATCAAACACTTTATGAACTTCTGCAATTAGCTCAAAAAAAAAAAAATGTGAATTCCCCACAAACTTAAGGATTCGCATAGCAAAGCATCGATATGACTAAAATAGCTCAGGTGCTTATGCTCGTTAACAATATGTAGACTTTATAGTTTCGCTGATCGGTTTTGCTAGGTATCACAAGTAGCCATTAGGGGGAATTCCATCGATTCTCAAATGTGTTTTTAAAACAAGCAAATTTAGTATGAAGCATCTCGCGTTCTAAGTGTCTAAACTAAATTTCTGCGAATTTAAGAATCCGCATAGCAGAAGCATGGATAGAGGAATAGGATGAAATCAGCTCAGCGACTTGTGCCGGATATCCAAGAGCTTTGGATAGGCTTTGTGAGGTGTTACAAATACACAATGTTGGATAATATACTTGCAGCTTTTGTTGATGAATACAAAAATGGGATGCTTGGTTGGATGATGATATTATGCATGTTATAAAAAGCA